CCCCGCGCACAGATCCCTCACACAGATCTCCCCGCGCCCAGATCTCCCCGCGCCCAGACCCTCACACAGATCTCCCCGCTCCCAGATCCCTTACACAGATCTCCCCGCGCCCAGATCCCTCTTGCTGTGGAAGACTGAGAGGAGTTTTTGTTGTGAAAGAGCCGGACACTCACCGTGAGGGGCAGGGAGCAGATGGCGAAGATTGCAGTCATGGAGACGAGCAGGATGAGGTGGTCCACTTCCTCCTCCCTCTGGCCGAAGATGCTCCTCCTGCGAGCCTTCCTCTGGGACGATAGCACTGAGCCGCGCCGGCTTCTCTGGCTCTGGTGCATCTTGCAGAGGCTGACGATCACCGAGGCGTTGCACAAAACCACGGCGAGCACCAGCAAGGCGATGAGGCTGGCATAAAGCAGCGAGAAGCCCACCACAGCCCAATTGCCGGACTCCATCTGCAGGAAGCACCAGGTCCCCGGGCAGTACTGCTTGTGTTGGCCGAAGCCGACGACGGGCAGGAGGCAGAAGAGCCCAGCGAAGATGTAGATGGTGGGCAGTGCCAGCTTGGCCCGGCTCCTGCCAACGTGCTGGGGGTAGAGGTACGGGTGGCTGATAGCCAGGCACCGCTCGGCCGCCATGGCGAATAGCAGCAGAGTGGATGCCAGCCCAAAGAAAGTCATGGCGCTGGAGAAGAAGGAGCAGAGGCCAGATCCTTCTGCCAGGCCGAGCAGTGAGCGCCCCTGGGCGTACGCCACAAACACCATGGGGCTGAGGCAGCAGGTGCCCATCAGGTCGGTGACTGCCAGCCCGGTTACCAGGATACAGAAAACCGAGGACTTGGTTCGCAGCTCCTTCCTGTGCACCCCCAGCAGGGCCAATGCCAACACATTACCCACCACCCCTGCAGTGAACATCACGATGCTGACCACAGGCTGACTGTTCTCCAGGATATGAGTGGTCTTCTCGCAGGTACTGTTCATCCGCACAGTGGGATCGGAGTCCGGGGATCCCCCCATCCCTCCACAATACAGAGAGGGAGAGAGACAAACACACACACACACACACACACACACACACACACAGGTACAGAGAGAGAGACAGACAGACAGAGAGACACACACAGAGGCAGAGAGAGAGACAGAGACAGGTACAGAGAGAGACACACACACACACAGAGGCAGAGAGACAGACAGACAGACACAGAGACACACACACACACACAGAGGCAGAGAGACAGACAGACAGACACAGAGACACACACACACACACAGAGGCAGAGAGAGAGAGAGGCAGACAGAGACACACACACACAGAGGCAGAGAGAGAGAGACAGACAGACACAAAGGCAGAGAGAGAGGGTCAGACAGACACAGAGACACACACAGATGCAGAGAGAGAGACAGAGACACACAAGCAGAAAGAGCGAGTCAGTCAGACGCAGAGACACACACAGGCAGAGAGAGAACAGACAGAAAGAGACAGAGATACAGACAGAAGGAGAGAGAGAGACACACAGAGACACAGAGAGAGAGAGTGAGACGGGGACAAACACACAGAAAGAGGCAGACACAGAGAGAAAGACACACACACACACACACACACACACACACAGAGGATAGGGAACTCAAAAGTTGCTCAGAACGAAATAAAAGTTTCTCAGGCCTGACTTCTCCCTCTCTGTCTCCCTGCTTTTACTTCCCTGCCCAGATTCTCACCCGGGCCACCTTTCTCTTTCAGGCAGGGGTACCCAACCTGGCGGAGAGCTGCTCACTCCCTTCTCTCTGCTCCCCTCCCCTGTTCTGCTGCTGCTACTGTACTCGCGGTGCGAGGTCCCAGCATCGGCTGTATGCCCAGGGCCCCCTCCTATTTGTATCTGACAGCTGACGGAGGCGGGGCTCACTCTACAGACGTTTGGCCAAGGGAGAGAGAACTAAAGACACCATTTAAAGCTGCACTGACCTCGCAAACAGGATCAGAACTCATTTCCCTCCGGAACAGTCCAAAATCTCACCCTCCCCTCCCCAGACTCCAAACACTATCCCCCGTTCCCACCCCAGACTGAGTGGGAGCCTGCTCTCTCTCACTTTCTCTCTCTGCTAAAGGAGATAGTGTCTTTCCAAACACAAGAGTAGCAGAGCTGAGCGGCACCAGCCCCACCAATGCTGTTGGAAATCTGATAGGGAACCAGAAAATGCTGGAGAAAATTAGCAGGTCTGACAGCATCTGTGGAGAGAGAACATTATGAAGAGTCATATACAATTGACTGTGTTTCTCTCTCCACAGATGCTGCCAGACCTGCTGAGTTCCTCCAGCACTTTCTGTTTTGATTGCTCTCCCTGTTAGTTCCTCTCCAAGCCTCTCATTAGAATTCCTACATTGTGGAAGCAGGCTATTTGGCTTATTGATTCCACACAAAGTCTCCCATGCAGACCCACCCTATCACTATAACCCTACATTTCCCACTGCCAACCCACCTAGCCCACACATCTTTAGACTGTGGGAGGAAACAGAAACATCCAGAGGGGGTCCCACGCAGACACAGGAAGAATGTGTAAACCCCACACAGCCAGTCACCGCAGGGTGGAATTGAACCCAGGCCTTTAGTGCTGTGAAGCAGCAGCGCTGATCACTGAGCTGCAGTGCTGCCTACTGTCCTGGCTTGGAAATATATATGAGGAAGGGTCACTGGAAGCGAAACGTTAACTCTGATTTCTCTTCACGGATGCTGCCAGACCTGCTGAGCTTTTCCAGCAATTTCAGTTGTGGTTTCTGATTTCCAGCATCCACAGTTTTTGTGTGGAAATATATTGCTGCTCTTTCAGCATCGCTGGGTCAGAATCCTGAAACTACCTCTGTAACAGCACTGTGAGGGTGTCCCTACACACAATGGATACACATGAAAGATTTAAAAGGGATGTAAATGGCAACTTTTTCACACAGAGGCTGGTGCGTGTATGGAATGAGCTGCCAGAAGAAGTGGTAGAGGCTGGTACAATTACAACATTTAAAAGGCATCTGGATGGGTACATGAATAGGAAGGGTTTAGAGGGATATGGGCCAAACGTTGGCAAATGGGACTGGATTAATTTAGGATTTCTGGTCGACATGGACAAGTTGGACTGAAGGGTCTGTTTCCAGGCAGTATATCTCTATGACACTATGACACTGCAATGCAGTGACATAGCTGATTTTTTTCTGGAGTGGGACTCGAATGGTTCAAGAAGGCAGCTCACCCCCTTCTTCAGGGGCATTTGGGACATGCAGTAACTGCTGGCCCAGGCAGCAACATGCACATCCCACAAACAAAGGAAACATTTAAATCGCAGGGAATAAAATGTGAAAAGAAATATTTTTAAATAAATTTTTGGTCACTGATCAGCATTTATTGCCTATCCCTAACTTTCTCTGGAGAAGCTGCCCTTTTGAGTACTGTGGATAGACGGAATCACAAAACTCTGAATTCGAGTCCCACTCCAGAAAAAATCAGCTATGTCACGGCATAGAGGTTTTGTGTAAGAGGTTTTGTGGCACTGTTACCAGGAATGGGAGATTTCCCATGGTGCCCTGGCTAATACTTATCCCTTAGCTGGCATCATAATAATTACAAGTGATAAGGGTCATTCTTACGTTGTTGTTCATGGGAGCTTACTGTGCTCACTTTGGCTGTCACGTTTCCTACATTACAGTGGTGACTGCACTTCCAAGAGCCACCAGTCACTGCAAAGAGCTTCGAGACACCCAGCACTCAGAACAGGCACTACGTAAATGCAAGTCTGGTTCTTTTCATTTCCAAAGGTAGTTTAGTCTTGACCACAGTCGCTGTGGGTCTGGAGTCACATGTAGGCCTGAACCAGGTGAACATGGCAGATTTCCTTCCCTAAAGGGCATTCGTGATTTTTTTTTTAAAAGGTCATAAGGCAGGAGAGGGACTGCAAAAGGAGGTGAACAATTTTACACCTTTCAACAAACTATGTGGGTGAAATAACTTCACAGAGGTTGGTATCTTGTCAACAAGTCACCCTTTTCTTTCCTTCTGCACAGTACACTGGCTGTGACCAGCCAGCTCGGAGTCAGTCCCCTGAACTGAGGAGATTCCAAATCCCCTGTTTATTTTCCTATTTTTTTTTTCTTCTTTTCTTTTTTGTTTTTTGTTCTTTTCTGTTACTTGATGCGAGACACAGTGAAAGCATCAGGTGTGTAAATAACTTTAATAATATTGCACTACCAGGAGAAACACCCATGTGGCCAAAGAACGAGTGACAAGTGGAGCCCAGTAGGGTCAATGCCTATGAGAAGGAGAAAAGGAAAGTGAAGAGGAGGGTCGGGGTTGAATCGAAATGGAATTGGAGGCGGAGATAAAGCCCTCCACACCCCGTGGTCCCCAATTCTGCTGAAAGGCATTGAGAGCATCAGAGCACACCACGTCCTCCTTTTCTAGGGATACCCAGGCCCAATCCTCTGTTTATTTCTTTTGTTTTTGCTAATAACTTTATCAACATACCACTACCAGGAAAGACACCCACGTGACTAAAGGACCAGTAGCAAGCAGATCCCCTGGGGGTGATGCCTGTTTGAAGGAAAAAGTGAGGGGGAGGGTATGGATCAAATCAAAGTGGCATTGGAGGGGGAGATAAGGCACTCCACACCCCACGGTGCCCAACTCTCTCAAAATGTATCGAGAATATTGGTGGGCACCGTATGTTCCTTCTCCAGGGATACCCGGACCTGATCCCCTGTTTATATTGGTCATAGCAAGTGCTGACTGATTGCCTCAGGTTAACAACCCCAATCAAAGACCTCATAGTCAATGGGATCCACTTGGTTCCTATCACCACAGTGGGATCAGTTGATCGTTAGCTCTCCGAGCTGGTTGTTCTGTGGCACGCAGACGTTTTGTTACTGTTTTAGGCAACATCATCAGTGCCAACTCTGATCGAAGCATTGGTGTTCTGCTCCATTCTGAATTTATATGATCCTCTGATTGGTCTTGTCACCTCTGGTTCTGTTGTTTCAGCAGCGCTCTGTATACAGGGTCTATTTCTATGTGTTTGTTAATGGAGTCCCGCGTTGAGAACCAGGCTTCCAGAAATTCCCTTGCATCTCTGTTGTTTACTTGTCCCAGTGTAGTCACTTTGTCCCCAGTCGAACTAATGTCCCTCATTGTCTGTGTGTATCGAGGCAATTGAATATTGATTGTGTCTTTTTGCTGCCAGCTGGTGTTTGTGTACCCTGGTCATCAGTTTCCTCCCTGTTTGTCCAATGTAATGTTTATTGCACTCACTACATCGTATTCTGTATCTCAAATTAGTCCTGTTTACTGTCGGTATGGGTTTTTAGTCTTTGATAGAATTGGATGCAGTGTTGATATAAGTTTGTGTGCAATCAGGATCTTATGTGGTCTAAGGAGTCTGGTTGTCATTTCTTAAAAATTTTTGATGTAGGGTAGCATTACTGGTGTCTTCTGATGTACCATGTCCTCTGACTGTCATATGTTTTGTAGGCACCTGCGGACGAAACTTCTTGTGTATCTGTTGTCAGTAAGTACTTTATGTAGGTGTTTCTCTTCCATTCTCTGGAGTTCTGGGGTGTTTGCAGTGTGATATGGCTTGCTTAAATAGTGCCTTAATGCAGCTCTGTTTGTGTATGGTGGGGTGGTTGCTATTCAACTCGGTGAGCTAGCGAACCACTGCACCCACAACGAGAGCTACAAATTTTCGCTAAAACCTTAAAAATAACTACAGTGGGAAACGGGCGAATAGTGGGAATGAATTTATTGCAAATTATTTGTGGAGCTTCTACATTATAGCTTCAGCAAAACAGAAGCTGCTATATCGAGATACAATTGTGAGAAACATCATATCAATTGGGTACTTTAACAGTTTTATTAAATGATAATTTGCATCGATGTGCTATCACATCCCAACGTCTCTCACACACAGTGACTCACTCCAGGTGCAGTGAGTAAGTTAAAGTTGAACTTTAACCATGCTGTGCTCAATCCAGTCCACAGAATTCATCCTCTCCCCACATCCCTCCGAGTATATTTCTGTCGCGTACCTGTCTGCTTTGCTATTCGACTTTATTTATGTTCTCTGCTTCTCTCACTCTTTGTAGATAGTGAGTTTTCAGGCCATTCACACTAACTATATGAAAACGTTTATAAACTTGCAGAGTTTGGTGGGTTGATCAAGCGTGTGGATTTAATTCAATCCAGAGAAATGTGAGTTGATTAATTTAAGTTGAAACAATATAATTCTAAAAAGGGGTGCAGGGGCCTGAAGGGGCTGTGTATGTAAGTGTTACATTGCTGATGGCAGCAACATGTTGTACAGGATATTGGTGAGGCCTCTTCTGGAGCACTGTGTCCAGTTCTGGTCACCCTGTTATAGGAAGGATATTATCAAGCTGGAGAGGATTTAGAAGAGATTTACCAGGATGTTGCCCCGAATGAAGGGTTTGAGTTATAAGGAGAGGCGGGATAAACTGGGACTTTTTTTCCCTGGAGCGTAGGAGGCTGAGAGGTGACCTTATAGAGGTTTATAAAATTGTAAGGGGCATAGATAGGGTGAAAGGCAGATGCCTTTTCCCTAGGGTGGGGGATTTCAAGACTAGGGGGGTATGCTTTTGAAGGTGAAGGAGACAGATTTAAAAAAGACATGGGGCAACATTTTTACACAGGGAGTGGTTCACGTGTGGAGTGAACTGCCAAAGGAAGTGGTGGATGCGGGTACAGTTACAATGTTTAAAAGGCATTTGGATAAGTTCATCAATAGGAAAGGTTTGGAGGGATATGGGCCAGAAGCAGGCAGGGGAGATTATTTAATTTGGGATTATAAAAAATGAGAGAACTGCGGATGCTGTAAATCAGGAAACAAAACTGAAGTTGCTGGAGAAGCTCTTGGGTCCGGTGACCCTTCCTCAAAACTTCTGTTTTACCCTTCACAGATGCTGCCAGACCTGCTGAGTTTTTCCTGTAATTTGGGGTTATGTTCAACATGGACTGGTTGGGCCGAAGGGTCTATTTCTGTGCTGTATGACTCTATGATAGGT